ACCAATAAATAAGATGACTAACGCTAATCATAAACTTTATTAGAAACGATCAGCTGCATGCCGACAAAGAAAGATTATAGTGGGTTAATCCAACAAATTATACAGTAATTGTTTATTTAAATACTGGCTATCATTTTAATCATAGTAATTCAATATACATGTCAATTGCTTTTTAGCAATAGCTTAAACCAATTTTATGCAAATAGGTAAACGAATATTAATTGTATATATCGTATGCTTTTATTTGAATCTCTTATTCATTGTGATTGATAATTCTGTAATTCAATCAAAAAAAGTATTCTTTTATATTTAATGATTTTTAGATCAGTTCTCTAGAATCTTTTAATGAAGAAATATATCATTTTTTAAGTATATACTAACAATGTTAGGCTTAAATATTATAATTAGATAAATTATTCGAGTTGATTTCATTTACTTCAGCTTCATAAATTTAATTGTGAACATTGAGATCTTTTGTGTATCTATTGTAAATAAGTTATTCTAGTTTAAATTAACGCCGTACTCATATTTTTATTTGATTAAATTTTCGGTGAATATATAATTAATGCTGTAATGTATTTGGATATGCCATTCGGTTCATAAAGTTGACTATATTATCGCACTATAATTTCCGGTTTATTCGTATTAGTTTGATTATCTAGTATATGTCTTTTTCAATTAGTGTAACTAAATAAGCTGGTTGAAATTAGAGTTGCAGGTGAAACTGGTGCACCGATGGTAAAAATAGAGTTATAGATGAAAACTAATATTCAATGGTGCACCAGTTTCCCGGTGAAATTAATTGGTTTCACCTGTAACTCTAGTTAAAATAGTAGTTTGAATTTGACCCTAACACATGATTGTTCTGATCCTGCATTATATTATTTTAAGGTAATGTATCATCTGTGAATGCTTAAAGCCAAGGGCACCACGAAATTTAATAAAATTATTAATGTATGTGATAACGTTAAGATTAGATCTTTGTAAATAAAATCGATCCTCTTGAAGAATATTACACTTCGAAAGGCCCGTCGCGAATGTTATAGAAAAAAATACATTATCCAGATTTAGATTAAATCATAAAGATTTAATTATAGTAGTCTAATAAAGCAATAAATGTTGTTATAAAATGTAGTTTTATATGAATTTTATAATTTAATATACTGTAAATTTTTTTGATGTTGTGTAGTTGATAAATATATGGGCTTAGATAAGGTTTAATCAAGCATACGCTTATTTGTTTGTTTATAAACAGGTCATCAACAAAAATAGAACAAGCCAAATATGGATTTTTATCTTTATTTAGAATACGGCTTACAAACTTGTATTTTTTTTTTCGTCCTATTACTTTTACTGGTAATTGTTATCATATTTTTTATAATGAATTAATGAAAAAAGTTTATTATCTGCCAGAATTAATGTACCGGTGAAACTTTTAATAAATAATTTTGAAAAAAAAAAAATATTCAGCATCTAGAGGTTGTTACAAAAAAGCCCGTTGAAAGAGAATTAACTGCACTTTGATACTTATTAATTAAACTAATTCGTCAGGTGTTTTATCAATAGTTAAAAATTCCGTTAACCACTAAGGCTTCGTTAAACAAGCGCGTCGTCAAAATAATTTCGTAATTCATAAATAGTTTCGTCGGGAATCATTCGAGACGGACCCGTGATTTGTTTATGCCACGTTGTTACACAATTCTTGCTTGGTATTAATTCGAAACTTACCCTGTTTCTGAAATATCCCTTGCTAAAATTTCAATTATATTTAATTTAAATTTCTTTAAATTTTAGCAGGAATTATAACTATTTGCAAACAATTTCGAATGTCAAAGATTGCAATTAGTTTTCTGAGATAGTATCTGAAAGAAAATTTATCATATCGGATTTGTCGCGGCAAACCCGATTTGTGTAATCAACGTGGGCGGAAGATCGATGCACAGGTGCATATTGAATAAATTTTGCATGTCAACTCAGCAATATCTATTGGAGTAACAGGTTACATATCGCCCGGTATTTGTATCATCAAAAATCGTAAGTTGAAAATTTAGGTTTTGTATTTCTCAAAACTTAAATCTCTTTTAATTGGTAATTTCCTTCCATATATGCTTTAAAGAATTGAATTTATAATTGTTAATCATGAATCTGTAAAAATCAGCTAGTATATCCAGTAGACAAACCTATATGGCTTTAAACTATAGATGCTGGTGAAATATGTGAAATAATTTCACCACTATTGGTGGTGAATTGGCGAAATTGGTGAAATTAATTTCACCAGCATCTATACTTTAAACACTATATTATTATTTATGAGAACGCCCTATCTAATTTGATTATCCTCAATATAATTTAGTTTTATAATGAAAATAGCGAATAATTAATAAATCTTTAATTTTAAATATAAGAATAAATCGATTAACATTACACTTGATGAAGAAATTTAATTTTTTCAGACAATTTAACTAATATTATAATTTCTTTCTAGCATAAACTCGTACTTGTGTATTAAAAGTTTTTGGATTATTTAATTCTTCTCTCATCTTTTTAGCCAAATCATCATATTCATCGTTAGAAACCTTAATTATACTTGCAAGCTTAGGTTTCAAAGTCTTTACGACTGTAGTGAAATTTTCAGATGACTAAATTATAAATAAATTTTGGAACTTTTATTAATTATTATGGATTAAAATTTGAAATAATTATTATTATTAAATCTGCTAAGTTACCAATTTACGTAATTCTTCCGCATTTTCTGCATTAAGTTCTTTTTTTATCTCACAGTGAACATCATAAAGTTGTTTATTTTCTTCCAAATAATCTTGCAGTTTATAACATACTGTATATTTGTGTCCAAGCCACGTTCCTGAAACATAATTGTTACTAAAGAAGTATACATAAAGTTAGATTACTATACTACAATGAATCATTTTTTGACAAACGAATTATTATGATCCTTACTTGCATCAGTAATCTTTGTAGTTGCAGGCCCCATATTATTAGGCTTAAAGTCAGATTCTAACAGCTATTTAAAAAAAAAATTTAACCTATTTCTTACAAGTTTATAGCATTAATACAGTAGATTTAACATATATAGAGCAAACCTCTAAATAACCATCAGGCTTTAATACACGGATAAGCTCATTAATCACAGATGGCCATTTATTTTCAGGAATTCCAACATACAATGTTCGTTGAAATACATAATCAAACGTGTTGTCATCAAATGGTAAACGTTCTAATACGTTTCCTTTAATAATCTCAGTATTACTAGGTTTGGTATTGGATGATTGAATTGGTGAAATGTCAACTCCAATAAATTTTGCTTTCGATAATCAGCTGCCATTTCGAATAACCAGGAACCTGCGCCTGTTCTAAAGTATTTTTAATAAATATAGTTATAATAATAGTAATAATAATAGTAATAATAATAATAATACGTAATAATAATGATAAACAATTCACTTACCCTACATCAAGAACCTTTGTATCTTCTTGTTCAAGAAGGTGCCCAACTGGAGCGAAAAAGTTATTTTGCCAAATATTTTTTTGTAAATAATGTTGTAAGTGTAATCTATCAGCTTCTTCATTCACTAGGCATAAAATAGGTCGAATTTTTTACGTTATGATATTTTCTACCATCTACAAATTTAGAAGTACTCTCATTAGATAAATTATCACTTGCTGAATTTTCTCCGTTAAATTGATTTTTTTTACTAATTTTATTACCCATTTTTATTAGAATTAATTTTACTGCTATTGTTGACAATTTCCGGTATTTATTTGTTTCAACATTGGTACGTATTACACGTAGTACGTGACATAATATTTCATATCTGATATTGTAATCGCGTACCGTACGTACGTACTCACGTATCATGGGTTCCTCAATTTTGATGGGTAAATTTTTTTCCTTTATTTGTATTTTCGTATCACTTAGAATTTAGATGATTTTAGTCTGATAGAGACGAATCGAATGGTAACAAAATCATCCAATTTGGATTACTTTAAAATGTAAATTACTGGATAGGAGCAGTGCACTACCTGTGGCTTAAAAACCTTTTACCAGTATGACTGACAGATAGGGGCTACTGTAGTCTGACTTTAATAATTAGCGGCTATCCATTCATTGTATGTTTTATTAATTAAGTGACTGGTTAAATAACGGCATGTTTTGTATATTGGATAAATATTCTTCATGTATAAATATCTTTGAAATCGACCTAGTTGAATTCGAAATAGATTTTGTGATTCCTCTCATAATGAATAAAAATTTTTGTGCGATTTCACCCGTATCTTGTTAATTTCATGCACTGCTGTGTTTCTCATGGACAATGTTTTAGGACTATTTAATATTAGTATAAGTGCCAGTTATATATTATTACGATTGTAATTAAAATGTTCAAAAATAAAAACTTTATTCGTAAATAATATTTGAAATGTTAATTAAAAGGAGGTGTCGATTAAAATGATTTTCATTAAAAAAAAAAGGACTTAATTTTCAAAAAAATAATTGATAGCCAATCTTGACCAAGGGCTTTGAAAACCTAATGGAAAAAAGAACGGTAATTTACGCCAGGAATGTTATGAGTGAATAGTCATGGCGCACAAAATTGACAGTTCCGTGACTACTGGACTAATCTAAAAACAATTATATCCTAATTCTAATTTCGTCTAAACATTAACATTTGTATTAATAATATTTCTAAATTTTTGTGCTGAAAGTTTTACTACAGAAAACTAATTTCCACAGCAAATTTATTGGATTTTTTTTTACTTTCGAATTTGTATGTTACACATCGATCTTACAATCAGATTGGGTAAAAATCACGGGACCGCCAAATTTTTGCGCATGACTATTTCACCCTTTCCGACATATATATATACTAACACCTTACCTGTGGCTCCGCCACAGTTCTGTAAAGTTTTAAGAGCTTGATAAGAAATCCGTAATTTCATTAAGCATGGGTTAAATAATATAAATACCAGGAACGGAGTTATATGTAATATTACGAAGTATATGGTTTACTATAACATTTTTAGTGATGTGTGTCCGTAAAATCTCATAACTGATTGGACAATGCGTTAAATGCTATCAGTCACACGATTTGTCACATCAAAAATTTTATCATATGATATTCATAAGTTACACAAATCGACAAAAATACATTTTTAATAATTTAACAAAACCCGTATTCAAAGTATAATATGCACTTTAATACAAAGTTATTCCTGAGGTTTCGACTAATTAAATGGTATAAAGAATATAAAAAATAAACGTTTTGTTGCGAAATATTGTACCTTTGAATATAGGCAATTATTTTATACATTGTTTTAAGATTCTTTTCAAGCTTACAAGATCTTTACATAAAAATTGATCTATTAGGTACGCTAGAGTAAGAGCTTTCGGTAAAATGCATCTTTGGAAGGTGGGTAGATTATTATCATAGTGAAGAAAATTAGGAAAAATGATTTTATAGTAAGTGGATCACCTATTATTTTAGTTGTAGTTCGCTTTTTGTTTTATTTTTTTACTTGTAGAAGGTTTTTCTAAAACGTTTTTACTTTTCGTTATATACAGTATCAGGTATATTAATTTATTTTAAATTTATTTTAGATTTTATTTTTAATTATTTATTATATTATATCCAATATCGAAGTTCAATATTGCTAATAATTTCTACGGGTAATATGGAGTTTTTAATCGTTATAGAATCTCTTTCTCAATTTGTAATTTAAAATCCATTAATAAAAAAAAAAACTTTACTACCTGCCACGTAGCAAATATATTTTATTAATTCAATAAATAATATTTTTACAAGTTTTTAATAAATAATATTTGAGTTAATGCAAAAAAACGAGGAATTAAGGAGATATTTTATTATAAGTAAGTTAAATAACTATTCACTACTATATTCGTCAGTTTCAGATTGATTATCTTTTTGCCTTTTACCTTTTTTTTTCGTTGTTTGAAGTCTGCTACGGTATCTTTAACTAAATTTTTACTTGCCCTTCCTTTTGAATTTTTAGGTTTAGTTAAATAGACTTCTTGTGCAAGTAGGTCTTGCATGCGTTCTATTCCATGTTGGTAACAAGTTTCCATATTAAAGTATCCTTTTGAAGTATTTTGTGTTGTATAATTAAAAAGAGAATGATTATTAGGATCCGGATCTTGAAATGCATTATATATTTGATTGCTTAAAATCCACAATTGCTCACATCGATCTGGTGCAGCACGGTCATCAATATTTATTATAGTATCAACGAATTCGTCAAGAACTGATAATCTTTCAATTTCATCTTGACTTCCTTTTATTTGTCGATGTAAGTTTTCTTCATCTCCAGATCTTCCTGTCATTACTTGTTTAACAAATTTAACACCGTATGTTTCTAACGCTTCATCATACACTAGATAATGTCCTTCATGTGTAATATTAATGGACGGTACTTGATTTAATCTTTTTTGAAGTTGAGGATTTTTATATAATCTTTCTAAAAAAATAGCAACTGATTCAGCATATCTAAACTTGCCAGTAACTGGAAAAAGAGGTGCAAATGCAGCGAGACTTGCAATTTGCAAATCAAAATTTCCTCTTTGAATACCAATTTTATGTGCTTTCCAGTAACCAGCCCACCGATAATAATTAAACCAAACTTTTAAAATATTATTTGAACTATTTTTAATATAATTAATAGTTTTTCCTGTATTTTGTAGATAACGATGAATTGCAATTCCAACTGCTGCCCAAATTAATTCAAGAACTGCACAAGTCGCATGATAATCTGATCCTTTTTTCAAATTTTCCAAATATCAGACACCAAGTAGTGCTGCCATGTTAAAAAGTAGTGTTCAAAGATAAGCTGGCTTATCATGGCTTGCTGCGGCTTATCACGTGATAAATTCGAATTTATCACCAAGTCATGTGATAATCACGAAAATATCACGTGATAAATTCGAAGATATTACATGGCTTGGTGATAAATTCGAATTTATCACGTGATAAGCCGCATTAAGTCACAGCAAGCCGTGATAAGCCAGCTTATCTTTGAACACTACTAAAAAGTCCATATCCAGAAAAAGCTATTATTAAAGCTTGGCACATATCTTTAGAAATATGCCATTGTCCAAAAATGATATTAACGGTAAGATCTTCATTTTTATAATTTTTAAGTCTTCAAAATATTGCTTCATCATATGCAATATCAATTGTGGTAGTATTTACTACATCATTTAAAAACATGTCGCATGTTTTATATATGTTCTTATTAGAATTTGGTGTCGGCCCGGGATTTAAAATTATTATTTTTAGCTTGTCGAATTTGCATCTGACTTGAATATTTTCAATAACTTTTAGGTGAATATTATTAATGCCAAAATTATTTATTTTTTCTAAAAGCAATTTTTCAAAAATTTTATCAAATTTTTGTTTAAGTCTTCTATAACTGTCGATAGTCTAATTGTAATTTGGTCCAATTGTTCAGAAAAAAAGATTGAAGTTGGTTGTAAGCTTGAAGGAAGCTTAAATTGAAATATCATTCGAAGAGTGGCATGTGCAGTTTTTCATGCAACATTATATATTTCTGTACATAAATGTTTTTTCTTTTAAGTCAATATTATCGATAACTGACAAATTATAAACATTATTTTCAACTCCAAGCCTTTTATTAGGATTAGAACTTTCCATACGCCATCTTTCCGTACAAACTTCGTGATCCCAAATATAAGAAATTATATGTGCAGAATGAAGAATTTTATGAAGCTTTTAAATCATATGTAAACGTCTACAAAGTGAGCCCAAAACATGAGGTAACCAAATTTTCCACTTGTGAAAAGCAATTCCCGTTATAATCGATACTAAAAAAATTGTAATTTTGCTAACTGTCATTAAATCTAGTAAAATTGATAGTGATCCACGGTGTCTTCTTTGTCGTTCTGCGATTTCATGTTTTTTTAAAAAAAATCTGTAATAAGGCTACTAAAAAAGGACCACAAAGTTCGGGGCAATGCTTCAGCATATTGTTCAAGAGACTGTAGATTTCTAAAATTGGTAAATCGTTTTTAAGCAATATGTGAGATTGCCATAAAGACTCTCCAAGAAGATTTCCAAAGTATGCACATTCTTTTTCTTTTAAATGCTCTGCTTTTGTTTTAGCACTTAAATGATTTTGCTAATTTAAATGCTATCTGAACCATTAATAAAGTTGGTAAAACTATCTTATCAAGAGAATCTATTCGTCTATGAACTAAATCCTGTGGCACATGTAGTTTTAACGTCTCAATCATTGGCAATAATAACCAAATAAGTTGCTGTTTTTGTAATTTATTATCTGATTTTGCAACTAACTGAATCCAATTTCCAAATTTTTCTAGAATTACAGTTAAGTCATCATGCTTACTATCACAACCAAACTCTGAAACTCCTCTACTTAATCGTTGATGTAAGTGGCCACCATTATCCTCCAAACACTCTACTCAAATATATAAAGACCGCATATTATTTGTTGATGGAATAGAAATTAAAAGGCAAGGCTTTAATGCTTCGCATGTTCGTAATCCTAAACATGCAACTTTAATATTGCGTCCACATACCATCAATGAATGCTTAGAGCAACCCTGACCACACATAAAATAACACTTATATTTATGACAAAACATGCACCATGTATGATTAAGAATACTTTGGTCTGTTCCTAATTGTTGAATATTTTTATAGTGCAGTTGATTTAAATCAAAAAGAAAATGCCGATAACAGATACCAAGTTCATCTAGATTTCTATTATATTGCCTAACAGTATCATGATCAACCTCCCAAGTACCTTTGAGTTGAGCAAGGGGCCGGTTAGGACCTCCAGTATTAATTTTGTTACATCGTTGCATTTTTCTTTCTTCATTGTCATTATCTACAATTACACAAGGTGTGTATCTATTGTTATTTACAGATTGATTTAGTATAATTTCGTCAGTTGTTTCATCAAACTCAATTATATTTTCTTCTGCTTCATTATTAAGGTCATAATCTTCATTTTCATTATTACTATTCTGCTGCAAAATTTTATTCTTAACACTTTGATATGTATCTGTTTCGAAATTAAGAATAGAAAAGTTTTCTATTTCGTTTGCAGATTCGCTTTCAGAATTACTAAAGTATGGATCAAGAAAACTCTCATTATAATTAATGTTTTCCATAATATTTGATTACAGTGTAAATAATAAACGAATTGAGGGTTACTATTATGGCTTGTGATACTAGGATAACAGATAAGTTTTTTTTTTTAATATGATTTTTATAGTTTTTGTAAGCAAATATGTTGATAATTTATTTAATAAATATATAATTACAAAAAAAAAAATTCAAGACAATAAGTTCTATTTATACATTTTTTTAATTATTTATTACATGATGTTTTAAATTGCTAATCACCTAATTACTCAATTAACCAGTCGCTCAATTACCCAATCGCTCAATTACTCAATAACCCAATGGCTATAGCTCAATAACCCAATCGCTCAATCACCCAATAGCTATAGCTTAATCACCCAATCGTTCAATCATTCAATGGTTTGATCATTGTCATGTAAACCTAATAAAAAAAATGAATAAATAAATAAATAAATGGATAAATAAATAAAATAAATAAATAATACTGTAGTATCGATATAAATTTATATAATGCAATTGACAAGATAAAAAATAAAAAGTTGATAATAGTATACGGATTGATTATGCTATGAATAAGTGTTAGGATTCGAAGTGTAGGCATAAGAAGACTCGAGACAATTAGAAAATTCCATATTGTTAACTAAATCAGAAAAATTAGATGACCAATCTGCATTCTTGACCTGAATAAATAAAAATAAAGAATAATAGACCTGCGACTTTGACCAGAAAAAAAATAATACATAAAAACAATGATAATAAACTTATCTTCGAAATTCTTACTAAGTATGCAATCGAATCTGTAACAAATAACACAAAAAAAAAAATTATTAATAGATTAGTTTTCATAAAAATTAAAATAAAATTCAGTTCATTCCAAAGTTCATATTATCCAAACTTTATTTTGTCCAAGTAGATTCGTTATAAAAGCATTAATTGTTGCTTCACTTATTCTGGTTTAACTATTTTTAGCCGATGGTGAAACTTTAAATGAATCAAATTAGGTTTAGTTAGCAGCGTTAGTGTCTATTTTTCAAATCAAAGTTTAAATTATATTTGATCGCAAAAGCCAATTTACACCCAACTTTATGAGCAAGATTCTTTATTTTGGGTGCTATAAACAGTATTCAAAGATGTTCGGTAGCTAGTTTTTAGGTGTCTTTGTAAGATTTTAACTTGATCTTTGCATAAAAATCTATTCGTACCTGTAAAAGACAATTGTAAAGTAACCGATTTCGTCAATTTTATATGAAAAAAATTTGTTATATGATGTAGATCATTTTAAATTCTATATTAAAATCACTTCCCGTGATAATCCTGTGACAAATTGTGTGACTGCTATGAAACGTGAAATTCTGTACTTAAACTTCACGATATTGCATCACATAGCATTATATTTATATATAGTATGAGATTTGTTTAACCATAATAAACGTTCAACCTATATTTTTATTGCTTTAATAGGTTTTTGTTTCAATTAAACTGAATGATAATCAATATTTTTTTATTATTATTGTCCTTCAGAATAGATACGGTGTCTTCAGATAGTCTTCAGAACCGATAATGGCTTATTCCGAAGCAGTTTTAGCTGCACAATGGATTCAGCCAATGAGCTGCAACTTTAAGCTATAACTAAGCATTAGCTGTAGCTGAATCGCTTTTTAAAGTCACAAAACCATAATTATTGAAGCCATGACTTGTTTTATGGCTAGAGCTTGACTTGGACATGGCCCAAGCTGTGGTAAATAATATCAATAAGCTTTGCATTAAATATTATTACATTGCTACAGTAATAATGATTTTAAAGTAATATAATATTTAAAGAAGCCATACAAGCGTTAACAGATCTAAAATTCTTTAATGGGTTGAAATTAGTCTATAAAGTTCTTTGTCATATAATGTCAGGTTTTCACATAATATTTCAATTAAGTATTTTCTTATTTAATCAATTGAACATTATCAAACAATATACGTACTAATTAATTTCTCATTTCAATTTTTATTCATATGATTTAAGGTTCTCTCAAGCACATAAATTATAGGTCGGAACTTAATTTTTAATTTGTCGAAAGCAGTTTAACCGGTAAGTAGATTCATTATCGTAATAAAAAAAAAGTTTGAAGCCATCTTTTTTTGTCATAGGCTTCAGCAAATTAAAGTAGGGATTGCTTCAATTAATCTTAGTACTTATGTATGATCTCGATAGTTATAATCACATTGAGCACTTTTAGTCTGAGTTTAGTTCTTATTCATCGGTCTAATTGGTCTAAGTATTTAATATGAGCTGTTCGCATCTCATATAGCTTACACGGATTGAGACAAGTTTCCTTATTATTATATATACACGATAGTCTGCCATAGATCTGACAAAATACTTGCTGAATATTAGCAGCATTTGGCAGCATATTAGGAGGTAGGTCGATATCATAAGAGTATGATATCTGGGTATCTCAATATTGTTACTGATATCGAGCTACCTCCCAATATCTTACTAATGTGCTGCCAATATGCTGCTGATCTATGGCAGGCTATCAGGTACATATCAGAAAACTTGCCTCCTAGCATGCTCCCGATATTCATTGGTTCAACTTGTATTTAGTCTCTATAATTATCATCTACAGATTGTTATGAACGGATCTGTATGGTATAGGGTGTATATATATTTTTAATATCTGTTCCGGTGTTATGTATTATTAATGCATTCATATAAAACCTAAAAAATAAATAAACAAAGCAGATGATGAATAAACAGACAAAACAGAAAATGCCAAAACTACATAATTTATAGAAATGCATTATTAACAAATTTAATAATTAAACAGATAAAGCAAAAAATACCAAAATTTTATAATTTATAGAATGCATTATTAAAAAATTTAATAGTTAAACATACAAAGCAGAAAATGCTAAAACTACATAATTTATAGAAATGCATTATCAACAAATTTAATAGTTAAACAGACAAAGCAGAAATTTAACAGTTTGTTTGTTAATACTCATTTAACTATATAAATTAATTTCTATTTATAGCATTTTTAACCTCAATTTCAAAGCTTGCTTTTTAAATTTTATACATATATTTTTTTCTAAGTCTAATTATAGTGAAATAACAATTTTTTTGTAAGGCCGTAATCAGCAATAATTTACAATAAAGCTATTTTATTTTTGTGCTAAGATTATTATCACTTGTAGTAGTAATAAAATGCTAGTTGTGAGTCATATAGTATATAGTATATTGTGCTGTATATAGGTGATTAAGGTAAATATATTGAAAATAAAAGGTTCATTATTTTTAATTATTATATATATATATTGTATACTTTAAATATACATACTATATAATACATATATGAGATAATACATATTACTATAAGCTGTATATTGTAAAATATGATGTATATTACATGTGTTGCATTAATACAGTAGGTATTCTTTTTTTGAATGCATATGCACCACTAATTATACAATTTAACTTTAATGCTTTCTTTTAAATCTTATACATAATATATTACTATTTCTGGTTCATGTAATATACATAATGTTCTTGTTTTTGCCTCTGAAAATTATACTAAAAAAAAATTGAACATAATAAAAGCTCTCATAAATATATAATAACAATATTAATATTATAAATCATATTATAATTCCCTAATCAAGCTATTCCAAATATAGATTATATCTGAATACTGCTATGGTGCAGGACATCTAGTCACATCAAAAAATAATTGCTTGCAATAAAAGTTTAATATCTTTTTTTAAAAAATAAGCAATTAAAAAAAAATTTTCTATAATAATATTATTTAAAACCCAAAGAATATCTGTATAGAAAGTTTTTCTAAAAATGTTCTTTTATTAAAAAGTTATTTGGGTTTAAAATTTCTTTAATTTATTAATATTTTAAAAAATTCAGCACTTTATTTTATTAGTAAATATAAAAAAATATAAAAAATTCAGCACTTATATTATAAAATACTTTTCAATAAATTAATTAGTATATAAAATTTTTTTCAAACTTCAAATTCTCTCTTTATTTATTTATTTATTTTTTTTATTTTATTTTTATTTTATTTTTTTTTTTATTCAATCTCTTAAAAATTTCAGCATTATTAAACATTATAAACATTATAAAAATTCAGCTCTGAATTTTAAAATTCAATACTATATTTTAAAATTCAGTGTTAAATATTAAAATTTCAGCGCTACTATATATGTTTATATAAATATTTCAAAATTCAGTGCTTTGATGTGACTAGATGTCCCGCACCATAGCAGAAGAATTCTCTTAGAGTAATTTTAATATTACTATATTTGTCTAATTAAATTTTTTATTATATATTTCAAATATAAAATGCTATGTATTTTCTTATTTTAATTTAATTTTTGTTTAACAATTTTTCAAAATAAAAAATTACCAAGTGAATGTTTTTTCAAAATATTTAATAATCTAAAACATAGTCATAAAAATTTATTTTATGTGTTCTTGTAAACTGAGATTGGTGCAAGTTAGCTATAAAAACATTATATAGTGAGCCAAATTTACACTTTGAAAATAAAAAACTTATAAATATACTCCTTTTATTATTTTATACTAAAGAAGAGTTAGAGGTGTGGCGACTTAGTGAAGTGGTCTAGTTGTCACCTTCACCAAACATTATGGGAAGATCCCATGTTCAAATCCCAGGGACGGCACTTTTGTAATATAGGAAAAGTCTGAAATGATCTTCACTAAGGTTGGCCCATGGAGAATCTGTCGAGACAGTATCAGGTGGCATCATTGAGGTGATTCCGGAAGGCTATAATCTGTGGGCTGTGTATAGCACGGGTCACAGGACCAAAGATCGAAGCCCGTTTGGGAAGTCCTGAGTTGGGAGGTAGCAGTGATCTTCGACGGTACTACATGAAGGCTGAATTTGAACCAGGGCCCGAGATTGGTGAACTGAGCGATCAGGTCCTTTAGTGGAGAGACACACTAGCCGAACCGCCGGTTTAGACGCACCGAAGGAAAAGAGCATATGCTCCGAAAGTATGG